ACTAGAGTTAATCTCTGATCAGTAATACTAGTGTTCACGGCTAATCCTACCGTATTCTTCAAATGAGTTCCAGGAGTCAACACCGATTCACCTTCACTCAATGATGCTTCAACCTGGACTGACTTCAAGAATTTTAGACCTAGAGGTGCCAGGTCATCTAGACAGAGGCCTGGTTGTTCGGTTGTATGGATGCTGAGGTGGCACTTTGAGAAGGCGACTTGGTATTTTGGCCCTTACCTCGAGTGAAAGTAACCACCAAGATCGTCCACAAGTACTTCACCTCTAACATAAACACAACTTCCACAACTACAGCCTCACAACTACCAAACTCTATTTTGTGGTTATATTCCCTTAAAACTTTATATCATCATAACTAATCAAGGGTTACGTTTTACCAATTAAATGCATTAATGATAGCATAATTAGAGAGCCACTGCTTCTGGCCGATGACAATTTAACATGAAATGCATCCTCATTTATTTATAGAAAATGTATTAAGAGTATAACAAGAAAATGCGACATTCAACCTGTAAACTTGAATTATCTAAAAAAAAAGTATACGACTATTCCTAGTGAGTGTGTTGCAGGGTGAAGGTGCAAAGTCACTCTATGGGACTGTGGCCTTTGATGATGCCCAGCCAGAAGACCAGCTGAAGTGACATCGGAGGATTTTCTTTTCTTTTGCATCAAAACATGTGTAGCCATGGAAAATAACAAAAAATACATTTGGAAAAAAATCCATTGTGACGTCACCATCTGTCGATTGTCTTTTGTTTCCGTTCAGCAGACATATTTCCGTAGAGAATTCGTCTAACTATGAAACCCGAGACCTCTCTCGAACAACTTGGAACCTCCTCGTTGCAACACGTACACACTGATAATGCGATAAATGAAAGAAATGTATTATATCAACAATGAAATGATATTTTACATTTACCACTGCAATATTCTTTGTCATTCTCTTGATTACAACTTATAATTTTGCGAAATAACGCGAGTCTTAACTGTGTGGTAACTGCATAAAAATGAACTGAAATGTCAATTTTTACTCGAGAGAAAATATCGTTGCTAAATATCTATATAAGCAGCAATGTCCTTTGGCACAATCTTTACAAGGGGTAAATTTAGAACGCAAACTTTCCTGATGTTATTATGTGTGTATATGACTGATCTGGTTATTTAAAACTATCTGTCGCTTAACAGCCCAGTCATTATCGGCTGTGTATGATATGCGACCCTCAACTATATCTGAAATCTTAACAAACGGTCTGTTTTATATTCATGTGCTTTTGCACGCTCGAATAAAGTCCTAATGAAAGAGTTCAAGTCAGATTCATTTCCTTGTTCAGTCTGGCCCGGGCTCGTGAACGGTTTCCTAGCGTGAGGGAGAATACAATATTCGTGCAGGGAAACAGCTGCGAACAGAGGATGCTTTTATCTCGAGGCAGGCCGAATGAGAGAGAGAGAGAAACGACGGATATGAACGAAAATATTTGCCAACTGCTTCTTGCAATTACATTTTCTGATATATCACAAGCCATACTCTATCAACGATATCAATTTCGACACGACAAACACTCATTATAAACGATTTTTTTCTTACACGTTGAGCTAACATCAATGATCTTTTTCCGGTGTGTGTTTGATGAAACAAAAAGTTAAAGAATGAAAAGAAAATTAAATGAGATGAATCAGGAAGAGCCAAAATACCGAAGCTCATGCTTCAGGATGTACAAAACTGATTCGTCAGCATGATCATCATCGTCATTATCATCATCTTCGTAACCTCCACCTCCACTGGATAAGATACCACCTGGATGGCAGAAATGTTCTTCTGACAATAGTAATAATGATGATGATCATGATGGTGATGGTGATGATATTGATGAGGACGCATGCAGTGTCTTGCGTCAATAAAATGCTCACTTTTTATGATAACGATGCGTGTGCATGTATTTTGTATTTACAGTACAGTATATGAGCTTAACACAGCATATGAAACTATATGTATGTGTGTATACATTATATTTATTTTTTTTAGGATCAGGGATAATCGAAAACTTGCTAACAGTTGAGTATATAACTGATGAATTCTCATCATCATAAACTTTACTTACAATTGAGTATTACTGACAGCTTTGGAAAAAATGCTGTAGCAACGGGTTGGCGCCGTCAACATTTGAAAAAACTTTACTTACCGATGGGCGCCTCTGACTTTCCAGGATGCGTTTATGATTACAAGTTACGATTTCGTTATGCAAATTAAGATGGACTAACATCTGTACCTAATTGAGGGTTACTACTACAGAGTGGAACTTCGCACATTTTAATTAGCTGATTTTTTATTTATTTATCTATTTATTTGCAAGAACACGATGCATATATTCTCTTAACTATATTTTTTATTCATAGTATGAATTACCAAAAGAAAGGGATCCCAGGTATAAAGATGTTACATTTCTAGCAAAAACCTCGTTGATTTTTCTCGATTTGATCTTTAAATATTTGCATATCGGAGCGACATATGTTGAGTTACATAACGTAAAAGAATGCAATACATGTCTTGTCTGTCACGTACAAGATTACTGATATATGTTTGCGTTCTGTGTTCCTTTTTAAAAAATTAGCATGAATAAACTCTCTAGCTTGTTCTTGCATATTCTGGGGATATCGTTCAGTTCTTTCGTAAAGGTCTCGCTTCGACATGTCGCAGAACCCGATATGTACACCATATTCCCAGTATTCACAGAATTATCATTAAAGTCTTGTTATTTTCAGATAATCTTCACTCTCCGAGTCGAAATTATTTACAGAGAGATGGATGTATTCTGTTAATATCAAAATTATTATTGACATCAGGACAGCTTTCACTTATCTCTTGCGCAAGCCCTGGAGATCGAGCGCACCATAGAGGTAGGACCTAACGGTAGGATCATAGCAACAGCTTTTTTAAAAAGCTACAACCAGGAAAGTAGTGACAATAGCAGTGACTACGTAATCAAAAGCAGGTCGCGAGCTATCGAGTGTGAATTGAAGTGCCCAGGGTGTCGATGTAGCCTTCTATGCTAACGCGATTGCTTGTGATGGGTTTGGTCGACCCTTCAATGAAGAGTGAAGTGTTGCACAATTTTCGCCATGTTAAGTGTGTCAATGATCTGCTCGGTGTGTGTGTGAAGCGTACGTCTTTCGTTGCCAATGCCTTACAAGCAAGCGTCAGCACGAGGGCACCGAGAATGAAAGAAAATGGCCAGTTGCCTAAACCGGAAGCCAGACACGACGGCGCCAGGTGAGGCGAGAAGTTGCAAGACGTGCAGCTGGCAGTAGTGCGCGGGTGGCGACGAATGCCCGCCTACTTCGTCCCTCTGCAGCGTGTGGACGTCTAGGATAAATAACCTTTTTTTTTTTAGGGATATTTGAAGGTAATTTAGAACGTAAAAGAAAGTGCAAAAATGAAAAACCCGAGCCAAGAATCGCATTTAAAATAATAAAGTGAAAAAAATGAAAAACCCGAGCCAATAATCGCATTTAA